TAAACTATTCGGTGATCTAGATACTTTCTTATATACCAAATTATAGCTGTGAGCATCAAATTACAATGAACTCTGGAACTATTAGGAATTTGTAATTTAAATAGTTTCACTCAATCCTTACTCCCAAGTGCTTTTAATTAGAACAGACTTTTTAATTAAGTACTCCCATGCACAAAGTATAGCTTGATGATTTTTCTGTCATATCAGCCTCCTTTACAAAAACAAATAATCTTGTGTTAAAGGAAGATATTTTCTCTGAAACCAAACTATAAGAATTCTGGTTCTGATTTCAAATGGTTCAGTTGAGGCTCTGAATACTAAAAGGAAGCCCCTGTCACTGGGATGACAGCGAGGAACAGATCCACAAGGAGTGACACCGATAGTACTGAGATGCATAAGAGTCGGTCCTTCACCTCTGTAAGTCAGAGACATCAGATTTCCCCCAGTGATCGGCCAGTTGCGTTTTAGAGGAAAGTGACATAGTAGAATGGGCGTGATATTTGGATCCACGTAAATATCAAATCACCTCACTGTCATTTGCTAGTTCTGTGAAAATGTTCAAGATACTTAGCCTTTTTGAACCTTAACAGCCTATTTGTAAAAGGCATTAAGAATACCTATTTTGTTGAGTTGTCAGGAAGATTAGATTTATAATCTATAAAGTGCCTTGAACAGAATAGGTGCTCAGAAAATGTTATCTATAATGTTAATAATCATTGTTGCCTTTATTGTCAATTTACTTGATCTTAAAGAAAAGTTCTCACCCATTTGAGATATCAAGGACCAATTGTTTGGTAAACCTGGCTCAGCATCAGGAACAAACAGGAAAAACATTTTTCCAAGGCCAAGGCATACATAAATAAAGACAATGTAGAAAATAGTGGGTAGGTGTGAGATAGTCTAGGTAAAAAGTAATGCACAAAGGGTAGCCCTTAAAACAAAGCATACGAATAAGCTCTCTGAGTTTTGAACAGCACCGAGTAATGAATCTAAGCCATGGAAACACTCCAGAGATTCCAATGAGCTCCATCCTGTAGCTTTTTTTTTTTTTTTTTTGCCAGGCCCTCTGTATGGCCCCGTGGCTTTGCTTGCTGTTTGAACAGTCTGGGAAGGAGAGATTATTGGAAGCATTATTATATAACGTAAACGCACGGCATGGTTTGAACTATTGGCCTATATGTCCTTTCTAACATCCTTGCCATTTAACTTTAACTCAGGTGGTTTGTTACCAGAGGCCTGAGCTAGACCTATACTCCCATACCTGAGAGGCCTCTCGTTAGCTTTCTGGGTACATCCACACATGGCTGTTTGCTGTGTGTTGCAGGACTGATACTGTAACTTCTCTGGAACAACAAAATTAGTTAAAACATTTTTTTTACATACTTTGAATTATTCATAACCGTTTCAATAAAGATGACAAAATTATAAAGTAGAATTGCTTTGTAATTTAGACTCTGTAGACAAAGGAAGAGAGAGTCTCTCTTCTAGAGTCTGTCCGTGCCTGGTGTATTTCTGTTTGCAGTTAATTATAAGGCAGATAATCTCAGATGTCTAAGTATTATTTAATCAGAGAAATGCCTTAATTGTAGCAAGTGGGATTTATTTTATAACTGGTATCTTCAGTGCCTGATGCATTTGTTCATCAGTTAGGAGCATTAGTCAAAAATTTAAGGAGACATTTATTAAAAGTGGAATTATAGTAGGTCAGATACTGAGCGCACAAATATAATGTATATAATTTCGATAAATGTATTTTATAAATGATCTATAGTAAAGATGCTTTTGAAATAATTATTGTAATATTATTTAAAAATTTAGTTTAGTCTTTAAAATTTCTAACATACAGATAATTATTTTTATTGCATAAGCATATTAATTTATTTCTCTAAAAGTTTAGCATTTAAGACTGCATTAAAACTTTTAAGGAATAAAAAGTTTGAGGAATCATTCTGAAAAGCATTTTCATTCTAATTTTTATAAGGAAAGAGATATGGCTGCTGCTTTTGTGGGTCTCATCTTGTAGCAAACTCCCTTATTTAATTTCAAAATGAAACAAGAGCTATTGAGTTAATTGTTAAGGTGCTTGCAGTGGAGAATAAATAGAAGAACTCCATTTAGAGAAGTTCGATAGACAAGAACAGGAAAGTAAGTGGGTAAAGAGAAGGTACTTACCTTCTAGGCTTCCAGAAGGAAGAACAGGCCTGAATACTCCAACACAGGAGAGAACTTGATGTGCCGTAGAATGCAAAGGAGAACTAGGGTTACTGAGTAAGCAGAGAGTGGTAATAGATAAGATTAGAGAGAAAAATTAATACCAAATTATATGGCACCTTTTAGACCTGGGTGAAGAATTTGGCTAGTGGATCTTTTAAAACAATTATTTACCCTTAATGAATTATTTTTATACATCCATTCTTCACTACTAGAGTCTTTCTACCCGGTATGACATAGACATCACAGAAGATTAGAAAACTATTTTTCAAGACTTTAATTTGTCTTTAATGTACAAAGATTTTTAAAAATCCATAGTGAGCACTGAAATGTTAATTTTCAAATTATTACTTGAAGCAAATTATTACTTTTCAATGGTATTATGAAAGACCTCACTTAATGAAATTTGAATTTTGGGAAAGTTGAGAATGTCTCTTTACCTTTTCTAATCCTAGAAAACATTGTCTATTTTTTAAAAATAACAATGAGAAGGATACTACCAACATAACTGAATCCACAATAGAAATGATGAGACAACTGAAAGGAGAAAGTAGGGATAAATTAACGAAAAATTTAGTAAAAGTATCAGCACTCTATTTTTTTCAGTTACTTCTGTATTTTCTATTACTAGATTTTAAAAAATTATGTTGCTTTCTGCAATAAAAGTTATTAGGATCAAAATTATCTTTTAAAGGGTCCAATTTTAGCCACAAGATACTAAGTGTGTGAAAGACTGGTTTTATTTATTTTTATGATGTCAAGTCTATTAGGTTTATTTACAAGGTGAGTAATTAAAACTCCTGCTAAGTTGAGATTTGAAATAGTTATATTTTAGTTTATTTATATAATGTAAGTACAAAAATCATAGGTTTGTCCCACAGGTGGCTGCAATTAAACCAATCAAACAGAAGAAATTAAGCCATGTTTTATGCAAAACAATAAATATTCCGCAATAGGTTAATGTGATATTCTCATGTCCTTAGAAATTTTTATCAAAAATATATGGCTTTGGTATTGATATTTGATTAATGATTGATTTAGAAAGTATCTCTAATGAATATTATAATAGCTACTAATGAGTTATATTAATATTTAGTATCAATGAGAGACCATCGTTAGGAGCCAAGAAGTTAATATTTTTAGACCACATTTCTAGGGTGATTGTTCAACATAATTTTTGCATGCATTTAAGTCACTGTTCAAAAATAGAGTTGTTAGTTTAATAATATATTTTATTGGTGAATCTTAGATTATATCTTATATCTGAAGGTATATTTTATTTAAGGGGAGCAGATTTTCATTGTGATCATTAGATGTTTCATATATTGAGAATAACTCTGATATGATTATCAAACTGAAAAACTAGAATACTTAGAGACTTTCAAGTAATGTCATCATTATCCTTAAAGTTGAACTGGATTATTTTTAGAGTCAACTAATGAATACTCGACACACCCTATTAGAAATTAGTCACTATAATACTAAGCTCATGGACATTCCTGACCATGTATTGTGTTGTAAAGATAACATGAAACTGATTCATTTATTCGACACATATTTATTGAACATATACTAGGTGCTTGGGATATATCAATGAGCAAAAGAGAGTTCTGTGGCATCCTGGAGGTAATATACCAACCATACAAATTAGGCTAAGATAAAACATATGATAGGAATATAAAATTTGGGCACATCAATGTTTCTATGAAATAAAATGATTTAACGTTGATTTTAAGTTTCCTATTAATTACTATATCTACAACAGAGTATGTAAAAGCACTCAATTTGCTTAATGTCGAAGGTGAGATCTGCAAATATTTAGACTATCTTATCTATTTCCTGAAATTACTTCAGGTTATTTCTGTTACCTTATATTTAAATTCTTGAAGCTACCAGACATTTTGCAAACATTCACATGGCAATAGGCATTTTTTAAATGTTTGGAAAGTTTCCTTTCTGATTACCTTCTACTGTAAGAGTTAAAACTTGAAATTTAGACGTATTTTACACAAACATATCTAAAGTTTAGACCACATCACAAAGTGGACAATTTAGAGGGTGTTACATTTGAGAAATAGGTTTACATTTTGTTTTGTTTTTTCTTCTGGATTTTTAATTTCCTATTTCTGCTTCATTCAAGTGCATTTATTGAATGTTTTCAAGATTTAATTTAGGTTTTTTTTCACATAACTCTGTGTTTCCTAACTGATAAAAGTTGAGTAATGTATTTTCATCTTAACATTTAGTTGTTTGGTTAATCTCACTTCAAGGGGGAAAGGTTATAGTCCATTGATAGTGATGAAATAATCTAGGTGGCTTTCATGTAAATAGCAACAAATGTGCACAATAGTTACATTACATAGTATTTTTAACAACGCTGCTAAGGAGTGAGATGGGAACTCAGTCTTTCGTGATGAAGATACACCTGAGCGCATCCAGAGAAAATTTAGTTCTGCAAGCTTGAAAGAAGTAATTGTCATTCAACAGAAATCAACTAGCTTTGCATATCAGTAAAACACACACATACTCTTATCTATTTTCTGAGTGCTCTGGAACTGATACCAAAATACCAAATATATATTTATGAGAACTAGAAATGCTATATTCTTTTGGATCACATAAACTCAATGTAATTATGAAATTAACTTTGAGAATATATGGAAAACGTAACTTCCTAAACAAATGAAGACAATAAAACCCACCAAGTCTATATTAGGCTATGTAGTTTTGATATTCACATTTGTGTTCCAATTGTCACGTCATTAATTATTTTTATTATTTATTTTTAGATGGAAGACTGTATTTGAAAACTACTGTCATGTACTGAATCTTTCCTGTTGAAGAAATCCATGTTATAGTAAAGAACTTTGCAGTCAGACATTCGTCATTGGAAAATTCAGAAAAAAATAAAGTCCTTTTAAGGGAACTGCCTCAATTTTGTGTATTAATGTTCTTTAAGTTTAAGTATTCTACAAAAAACAAAAAAGTTTCTTCCATTGATTTTCATCTGTGGTTCATACCAGAGACTTGAGAATGTTTGTAAATGTATAAGTATCAAACTTCTTACAATTGATAACTGCACCTTTGCTGCTGGACACTTGTATACTGAGTTAAAGCAGGTCCGAATAGAATATGACCTAGCTTTGTTTTTTAATGGAATGAACCATTTTCCTCTTCTGAAAATTCTGTATCTGAGCACATCAAGAGACTCTCATAGCAGTGGTCACCCAGACTTGCAGAATTATGTCCTCCGGAAACCAGCAAGAACACTTGGAAATGAACTTGAAGGAGGCATAGAGGATTCCTTAAAAAAAAAAATCAATACAATAAAGAGTAATATTCTGTTACATTCGATTTTAAACTCTCTAATTGTGGGTTTTATCCTGAAGATGTTTTTTTCACATACTTTCCAAAAGACCAACAAATGGATGTTGACAACAACCCAGTGAAATAACATTTTGCATATCTGAAAAGAAGCATTGAATATAAGCCAAAAGGTTTTGCTGAAGGTCTTTTTTCTTAAAAATATATAAATGTAACATGTTTTCATTCCAAACTGGTAGTAGTATATAGAATTTAAAATAATAATGATGCTTCTTATTCACACTGTTGGTCACATGTACAGTATATAAACATAAAACATACAAGGAAGGTATTATGTATGCAGTAGTAAACTAGAGTTTAGGAAAATGAAAATTTTAGAAAATATGTTTTGTCACCCTGTTGGTCAGAAAGACACCTTTCTGGTTTTAACGCATGCAGGCATGTAAATATTTGTTTGGAGTCACAGTATTAATGAATGAGATCTTAAGCGTCTGGTGACATCAGAACTCTGTATCAGCCGTTTTTATTTGTATATTGAACTCTACTTAGTGCCCCAAACTGCACTATTGTGAATGGATTGTGGCTGAACAGTTAATCAAAACACCAGAAATATTTTTATATGTTAACTTCATATTATGTTAATGTTGCTGAAAAACAAAACCTAACAAACCCTTGATGTATCGGTCTAATACCATGTAGCGCTGAGTGATAAAGTTAAAATGTGTCGTGCTTCCCACCCTGGTCAGAGGGAAGGGTGCCTACGTGTTATTTTCATTGTCTTTTTGAAAGTTACAGTATGTGTTTTCACTTTGTGCAAGTAAAGCTGGAAGTAAAGCTGCAAACAGTACTTATACATAATGAAGTTACCTTCTCTTTGTTTTTACATATATGCAGTTACACCTTTAAAGACTGATATTATAAATCAGTGCAGTCGCTATACATTTTATGATTTTGCTGTCATCTTAAAATTTTATGATCATAATATTATTTATTACCATAAACAGTAAAGTCTTAAATGTCCAAGCAAACTAGTTTAAAATGTTTAAGGATAGTTCTGATTGGGTATTAATTATTTGGTTAAGAAAAAATATAGATATTCTGGCACTAAGCTTCTATAGGTTTTAGGTCTTCCTTGCAACACCAGAACATATTTCTTTTGTGTAGCTTGCTATTAACCAGCAAAGTCCATTTTTTAATACAATAAAAAGGGTATATATACGATTCCTATTTTAGCTTGCTTAAAAGGGAGCAATATTTTTATTTAAAATGCTGTTAGTAAATGCTTTGTAGAAACTTGGTTTTCTAAGCATAGTTCTTCCATAACTGTCTCTTGTTGTTTGAGCACAAGAGATTTTATTCCTAGTTGTATCTATTTCTTGTTTTTCCCTGTATACAGTCTTTAAAGGATTACAACACTTAAAATTGGAGGGACTTGTGGCAAGCTTTTGAATCATACATTTTTTGAAAGATTTTTTAAGAAACCTACAACTTACATATGTAGTAGAATCAGCCATTGCTCTGCTCCTTGCATAGGGTCACCTGTTAAGTAGGTTAAATAGTTTTAAAATACATACTTTCAAGACCTTTGAGAATGCTTTAGTGTTTGGTTTGATATAAAAGGAAATTTTAGCAAGGATTTAAAAAAAAGCTATCAGCTATATGTTAAGAGAGAATCTTACTAACATTGTTGTAAATATTACAATTCATGAAATGTTATTTTTAAGTCAGTAACTTAAGTTTTTTTCCCCCTTTTTTAGTTATACAGGTTGTTTTGGAATTTGTTTTTTTTTGTTTTTGTTTTTGTTTTTGTTTGGTATAAACAAGTAAAATTGTGCCCATTTTGTGGTTTCCATGCTTTTGTAATCCTAAAAATAGTAATGTCTAGTTGTTCTATAATATAACCACATTTGTGCTCTATGCAAGCCCTTGGACCAGAACATTCTCATCTTCATGTAGGACCTATGAAAATTGTCTATTTTTATCTATATATTTAAAGTTTTCTAAAAATGATAAAAGGTTATTACGAATTTTGTTGTACAAAATCTGTACAAAAAATCTGTTTTTACATCATAATGCAAGAATTGGAAATTTTTCTATGGTAGCCTAGTTCTTTGAGCCTGGTTTCAATGTGAGAACCATGTTTACTGTTATTGTATTTAATTTTCTTTTTCTTTTCAACAATCTCCTAATAAAACTGTCTGAAATCTCCCCGTGAGTTTATTTACAGTTCGTCTTTATTAAATTTTGTGAAATGCATAGCATTGAAGGAATATTTACTTTCTAATGGGAGGCATCTAAAAACAACATAAGTCAGCTCTTTGCAATGTGAGGAAACAATGCTCAATGATTTTATTTAACATGCAACTGCTTCTATCTCTAATATGAATTACTGTGGTGAAAAACATCATAAAAGCACACTCTGTAGTTATTGTTTAACAAGCAGATTTTCCATATTTTGTTTCTTGCCAGCTAAGCAAACTGCCCACATATACATGATTTATTTATGTACATTTCTCAGTTTATGAAGCTGTTATTTGTATCCTTTTCCTTTATATTCTTATATTCCCATGATTCTTATTTCACAAAGCTTTGTGCTGAATAATGTAAAGTAGACATGTTGATGGAACAAAATATATTATTCCCATATCTATGAGTGTATATTTGTAACTCTAACTCAGTGTTTTGCTTTTGATCTCTATCATTGGAAAAAATGCCTTTAGAAACTTTGAAATTTCAATATACTTTAATAATATATAAACATTTTAATCAATCCAAAAGGCAGCGTTTGAAGAAATACTGGGTTGCTATCTCTGTGAATATTCTAAACATTC